GTATTCACTGGTCCCTGCTGGCCTGGGAGGTTAAATCATATTTATTCTTTCAACAGACTTTTGCTGGCACTGGAAATGTGGTGGCCAGCAAAGCATGCTCAGTCCCCACCCTTGCAGACCCCGCGAAATGCCTTCTTTGCATTTAAGTGATACTAAGCAAACTGGGTCTCTAAACACAACCCAAAAAACCTTACTTTCCCTCACTGTAATGGTAGAAAATTTGAGAAGAAAAGCGCAATAAGGCAGAGAAAAAAAAATCATACTGGCAGATTTCCTTTCAGTATTTTTCCTGCGCATTTCCTAAGTCACTTCCGATCAGCATCCAAAAAATGCAAGTTAATTTTAATTTTGGCTGCAAACCAAGAACAGAAAAAAGGTTAAGTGTATTGAATTAATTTTTCAAGCCAAAGTTAAAGGTTCTGAGGATGATCTGCTGTCTCCCAGGGTCCAATCCCTGTTTTTTTTCCATTAGCAAATGTGACCGCAGGCCAGGCCTAGGTGGGTAAGGATTTTCCCTCTCCTCAGCAAGGCTTCCTGCTTTGCAAACCTCCCCCCCCCCCCGCCACCCCCCACCCCCCACCCAACGCAACTAGAATGCTGCACCCACTTGATAACACATCAAGCAGAACAGAGGAGATTATGAGGAAAAACACCAGTACCTCACCCCTTCCCATCCTGTTCCACCCTCCCCACCCCAGCCCCACAGCCTAGAGGCAACCCCCTTTTAACTGTTTCTGTTTTCAGTTCTGGAAATTACTTCCAAAATCCTAGTTAAAATGCTCGTACTTCTATTCCTTTATGTATCAGCTTTAGTGAACATTGGCTTTCCAATATAAAACATGAGGCATTTAACTCACTTCCTCTTCCTCTCTTCCCAACGGTGACTATTTATATAAGTATTTTTGTTTTTATATTCATTATTTGGGTTATGTAAGTAAACCTCTATTGTTCTGTGTAGTTTTGTCAGCATCTCTGGGGAGAGAGGCCAGTTTGTAACGCCTCTTTTTCTCCACATTTCCACATGTACCCTTTCCTCAGCCTCACATCTACAAAGATTTTGAGTATTTACATTCTCTTCTGCAACCACAACCAAATCCTCAGGATTTCTCTACAGATTGATTTTAAAAGGTGAAACCCAGTGACTAGTACTTACATCACGATGACAAATTGAGGATTGGTCAAGGTCAGGCGAAACTATGGGCAGGGTTACAATTTCTTTTCTGTGTACTCGGTCCTACCATCCAGATAGGAGAATGTTTCAAACATTAAGGTCATTAATTGATACTGTATCAATTAAGTACAATCATGTCGTAGACTACCTTCACTTTCATTTAAATCAGGAGTTACTTCTTCGGTTTTGGAATTTTCCTAGAGATTCAAATTGCTCTTCTTTCTTCTTGTACTCTTTACTTATACCTTCATTTTTTTCAAGTTATCATTCATACCATTTATGAATTACAAGCCCCATTTTCCTCCTCCCCCAGTTAGAACTCTTTACTCCCTCAGCTCGCTTCACGGTTGTCATCCTGACACCTCCGTTCACTGGTCTCCTGAGTGAGAGCTACTGTTTCCTGTATATTAGTTTGACTTCTTTCTGGTTTGTTCCTATATTTTCTGGAATGTATCCTCCCTTTTCTAGGAGACGGTATGTGTAGGCCACCTTTGTACGTCAGAACATGTCTTTAACGTGCCCTTCCACTTTGGCATAGTTGTACTAGATAGAGAATTCGAGGTAGAAATTCTTCTCTTTCAAGACTGTGCAGGCGTTTTTCCATTCTGTCATCTAGGAGTTGGTGCGATGGATGGGAAAAAGTGCGTACTCATTTGATTCTCTTTTTTAAAGATTTTATTTATTTTTGCAATTTCTATTAATCACAGAATAATGACAAAGAAACCCCTCTATCAAGGGAAAAAGAAAAGTCACAAGTTTGGAGTTAAGTTAGATTTAAATCATTAAGTTATATAGATCCTGAAAATGACCACAATTCCTTCTGGGCTTTTCACCACCGTCTCCTGTGTGTCTTCTTTTTCCCTATATTAAATGTCAACCATTAGAACCCATTTGTCCATCCATCCATCCATCCATCCATCCATTCACTCATTTAAGAAATATTTAATGAGCTCTTTGCGCCATCCAGGAGCCTGAGGCGGCCTGCCGGGAGGGAGCAGGACTCCTAAAACGACAAGTACGTCTGAAAGACTGCGTTTCAAGGCCATTTTTGCTGGCTGTAAGCAGGGTGTCCAGAACTAGAGGGAGCACACAGCTCTTCTGAAAATGTAAGGTGTTTATTGTCGAGATGAAACTGAATTCTGTCTGGGCAAGAGATGTGCTTATGTGCACAAGGAAAAGAAAAACACGGTGACTCCCGGTGACAAATGGAACAAAACCAGAGTGACCTGGGGGAAGGGAACTCGTGCCCAAGGAAACAGTGGTGGTTTGTGCCAAATTCCGAAGCAACCTTCCTGCCAAGGCCATTGGACATGGAATCCGTGTAATGCTATACCCCTCAAGGATTTAAATGTATTGAAAACCAGTTAAATAAAAGTGGATTTGTAAGGAAAAGAAAAAGAAATATTTACTGAATGTTCCCTGTTCTCCAGACACTGCACTAGGCATGGAGTATAAATAGGAAAAGACATATTAGTCCCTGTCCCCTTGGAGCTTTCAGTTCAATCAACTAGTGTTTGCTGAATGCCTGTTGTGTGCCAGGCTCTGCGGCAGGCTGAGAACTGAAACCTGTGTAAGCTCACACAAGTTACGGCTACGTTAACATGGCTGTGGCACTGTCTTCACGGGCGTAACTATTATTCTGAAGCTTTTACGTTTAAGATGAATGTCGAAAACTAACTTTATTGCTCATTCCAGAACTTCCTGAAAGATCCCACCAGCTCCTCAACAGACAGCATCAACTGACAGTTCGCACCATAAGACTGAACCTCTCACCTCAAAATCTTCATCTTTTTATGTTCATTCTAAATGACTATGCTGTGACCGTTAAGCAACCCCAAACAACACCCACTCCTATCCTAGAATGGAAAGACCTGTCTTTTTTTTTCAATTAGAGTTTATATTCCGTATTACTTTGTATTAGTTTTAGGTGTATAGCATAGTAATGGAAAGACCTGTCTTAAACCAGACTTCAAAGTCTCCATAAATGTGGCCTTGCCCATCTCCCTGTGAGGCGTTGTCAGACTGTTAAGGGATAAGTAATAAACTTTGTCTTATCAACGGGCTGTTCTAGTGCTATTTGGGGAGCCAAGATTTGACAAGGTTCTGACAATATAGTAATAAATAATGTCATGATAGAGTTTACATTCTAGAGACAGACAATAAGCACATAAATCAAGAAATATGTAATTTTATATTTTACAGCGTAGTTGGGTAGATAGTAGCCAAATAGATCATTATCAGTTGCGATAACTAAGAAAGAAAGGATACCAGAATAGAGAAAGAAAGACGGCAGTTAAGAGCCTAATTAGCAAAGTTGATCCAGCCCTGGCGGGTTAGCTCCCCAGGATGCTAACCTGGGGATGGAGCGTCCTCCCAACGATGTGCCAAGGTTGCGGGGATGGTAGCAACCAATGACTGCATGGAGAAGTGGAGCAACAAAGCGACGTTTCTCTCTCTCCATTTCCCTCTAAAATCAATTAAAAAAAAAAAAAAAAAATGAGCCCTGGCTGGTGTGGCTCAATGGATTGAGCACCAGCCAGCGAACTAAAGGGTCGCTGGTTCGATTCCCAGTCAGGACAAATGCCTGGATTGCAGGCCAGGTCCCCAGTGGGGGTTGCATGAGATGAAACCACACATTGATGTTTCCCTCTCTCTCCCTCCCTTCCCTTCTCTAAAAATAAAATCTTAAAAAAAAAAAAACTCTCAAAAGTGACTTCGCCGGAGGCAGGGGGTGGGGGGGTGGCCCGAGTGTTCCAAGTGAGGGGAATAACAGGTTTTGGAGGCCCTACCGCAGAAAGGCAGTTCAGCAGTTTCCAGAACAGAAAGGGAACCAGCAAGAAAGGAGTGTAGAGGGGAGAGGGCAGGGCTGAGCAAAGGCACAGGGCAGGAGGCTCCCCTACACTTACTCAGAACCATTGCTTTACTCTATTGTTTCATTCTCTATCTTACAACAGAACTGTGTTCACTTTCTGCAAATGTGCAGATGTTAACAGCACAGGTTAAATGAACTTGTGAGGCCTTGCTGTTTACAAGTGTCGCCTGGCAAAAAAAAAAAAAAAGAGCGGGGGAGGGGGTGTTCAGCTTTTGCTAACTTCATTTACAAAGCTCGTGTAGCTCCAGCTTGAGCTCAGGTCAGCCCCATTGTTAGCGGAAGGGGCCCTCCTGCTTCCAGGTAAGTGCTTTTGGAGAACACACTGCCTGGAGCTTAGAGGGGCGGCGGTGAAGAGGAATCTGGCCTTCTTAGAGAAGTTTAACCCATCAAACTGCAGGACGCTGAAGGTGAAATTAACTACCAATTGATTTGCTGAAAGAATTGAAAACACGACCCATGTCAATGACGTCCTCGGGCTCCTTCCCAGTTACTGGCAGGAAAGTGCTGTCTTTAGGGGCAGCTGATAAAATCCAAATGTGCTTTGGCCCTCACCATGTTGACTGAGGGAATAATAAGCCTAGCCACACACTGTCTAGTTTACGTTGGTGGGGGAGCCCTAATTAATCGTTCTGCTGGGCCAGGACTAGATCGCGGGAGTTGGCAGAGGTCTCGCACCTCGCAGCCTGACCACCCGCACACGAACCTGGGTAGAGTTTCTGTTATTTCTGCCTTCACTCCCTCTATCTGGCCGTCTGCGTGGAAAGCCCTCGGCTGCACACGTAAAGCTCGCCACTGCGTTTACACGCCCAGGCGGTGTGTGCCTCTTCGCAGGGAACGGCTCTGCGCTGATATCCGGAGGCCCGCACTAGCGCTCCAAGGGCTCTGAGTTTAATCACACAAACAGTGTCCGGCTTCCTGTCCTCATCCCCGCCCTCCCGCCTGGTTTCCCTTGCCCCTCCCTCTCCCCAGCCCGATCCGCCCGCCGGCTCCCCCTCCCCCGATCCCTCGGGTCTCGGGATGGGGGGGCGGTGAGGCAGGCACAGCCCCCGCCCCCATGGCTGCCCGTCGGAGCCAGAGGCAGAGGGGGCGCAGGGGGGAGCCGGGCACCGCCCTGCTGGCCCCACTCATGCTGGGCCTGGGCCTGGTGCTGGCCTGCCTTGGCCTCCTGCTGGCCGTGGTCAGCCTGGGGAGCCGGGCATCGTGGTCTGCCCAGGTGAGGCCCTGCTGCACACCCCTCCCTGGGTAGATTAGGAGCCAAGTCTACCGAGCAGCCGATGAGGCTGGGTGGATTGAGGGCAAGGGGCCAGGAAGATGGGTGGAGGGTGAGATGTCAGGTGGAGAAAGACAGGGTGACGCTACCTCCTTCCCAGCAGGAGCCTTCCCAGCGGGAACTGGTGGCAGAAGAGGACCAGGACCCCCTGGTGAGTTGGTGTGGATGCTGATTGCAGGCTGCTGGGCATGGGAAGCGTGGGAGAGCTGAGGATGCAGAGAGTGCCTGGCTGTGTCAGCCATTCGTGGGTGAGAGGCAGAGGGTGACAACTGTGTGTAAGAGGTCTGTGTCACCTGAGTACCAAGTGTTATTGGCTGAGGGTGAAGTGGGAACGTGAGCTATGGTAGCCTGCTGAGGAAGAGGGATGCTGGTTGTATGTGCAGGGTGTGTACCCACGGTGCATTCTGACAGGGTGTGGGCGTGTGTGCAATGTGCCAATTGCGTGCAGGCAGGGTCTGTGCTGGCTCTGCGGTGGGGAAGGGGGGCTGGCCTCTGGGAGGGTTGCTGGCTGAGACCTGACCCCAGGAGCTTGGCCTCAGCCACACTTGGCTGGGGGCTCTGTCCCCTAAGACCTCTGTGCCTATCTGTGGCTCTCCTAATGGCCCCTGTTGGTCTCATTTTCTGTTTCTGGGAATCCCTGGGGAGACTCTGATTTAGCCCTGCCCTTAATTCCCCTAGGAACTGAGCCCCCAGGCAGAGGAGAGCCAGGATCCCGTGCCTTTCCTGAGACAAATGATTCGGCGTCGCAGAAGTGGTGAGCATCCCTTTATCCCAGTCTTAGGGACAATCATAGTGGCTGGTCTATGGTGGCTTCTGGATTCATTATTGCTTTTGTTTATCATAATAGCCCCCTGAAGTGGGAAGACAAAAAACATTATCCTCGCTTATGGAAAGAGAAACTGAGACACAGAATAAAGGGGGTGGGGTCAGAGTTATGATGTAGGCAAGGTAGGAGAGTCAGAGACCTGGGCCCCAATAGGCAAAGAAACTTATGAATGGAACAACCATGTGACCATATATCCAGGTTTGTGAGGGACTGTCCTGGCTTACACCTGTTAACTCAGTGTGATTATTATTATAATTGTTAAAATTTTATTTCTTTTTAGAGAGAGAGGGAGTGAGGGAGAAAGAGAGGGAGAAAGAAACATCAATCCATTGCCTTTCACTAGTCCCCAACTGAGGGCGTGGCCTGCCACACAGTCCTGTGCCCTGACCAGGAATTGAACTGGTGACCTTTCGGTTTGTGGGCTGATGCCCAACCCACTGAGCCATAACTGTCAGGGCTCAGTGTGATTAATGACACCTCTTTTTCTCTCGGAATCATCCCAGGTTGGATGATAAATTATAGTCACTCTACTTATGTAGGAAGATAAGGCCTGAGGTTCTGAGGCCAGGAGTGAGGACAAGAATCAGGAAGCCAGGGATCTCAGAGAGCATGGAGGCTGGGGGAGTAGTTCCTGGTCCCCCAGACATGTAGTAGCCTGCTTGACCCATCCGTTTTTCCTTGACTTTTAGCACCTAGAGACCGGAAAACACGGGCTCGCAGAGTGATTGCAGCCCACTATGAAGGTGGGTGTTCGGCGAGCCGTACAGGGGAGGGGGGCGGCAGCGGGGCAGGGCAGGTCTCACAGACCCTTTCCTGTTTTACAGTTCACCCCCAGCTCGGACAGGATGGCGCACAAGCGGGTGGGTGAGACCCCTCCCCGCCTCCGAGCTTTTCCCTGCCCCCCACGGTGCTGGCCTCCTGGAAAGGGGGCCCCTCAGAACCTTGACCACCCTCGTCCCTGCCTTCAGCCTTGGAACCTTAGAAGCCAGTCCGGGAAAGTCCTCAGGGTTCAGTTCTCTGAGCTCCCAAACTTGGGCTTTCTCTGTGACGCAGGCATGGGACCCCAGGAAGACCCCTTCCCCACTCAGAACCTGGGCAGATTCCCTCGCCAAACCACCAGCCCGGCTTCTCCTTCAGCCCTCACTCTCCTTCAAGAAGCACCTTTGAGTTTTTTCTTCTTTTTCCTTCATATACTATGAGTCTTCATGCTTTGATAATTTTTCTCAAAATGCTCCTGCTCTCTGCTCTTCTTTTCCATCCCTACCCTACCCACCACCTCAGCACCGTGACACGAGAACCTGAAACCCAGTCTCTAATCCTTTCCCCATTCTAGAGTCTCCTACCCTCTACTCTGTCCTATCTGTGTTGCCAAGCGAAGCCTCCCAAGCCTCATTTTCATGATTCCATTGCTCCTCTGCTTGGCTCACAGGCTGCCGTGGTCCCAACCTCTTTTCCCTGCACATCCTCATGCATTCTCCACGCTTGTTGGGCTGACCCCCCTTCCCCACCAATGTGCCTCTTCTGGATTTTGCCCATACTGTTCTCTGACCTGGAATGCCCTTCCATGTGACAGGCCAGGAGGCAAGACATGAGGGTGACTTGGTCTAGGTGGTTGGCAACTAAGACTGAGAGAAGCAGGTAGATATACCATGTGGCTTAAAGACAGGGCTTGCTTGTGGGTAGGATATGTAGGATAAGGGAAAGGGAGGAATCATAAATGACTTTTAGATTTTTAAGTTGGGCACCTTTGGGAATAATTATGCCATTTGCTAAAATAGGGTTAACCAGGGAAGAAATAGATTAGGAGGTGTGTAAATTAATAACTAAATTTGAGATCTAATAATAAACAAGTGGATAGGTGATAATAAAAAGTGAGCTCCACAAATAGATGGCTGGACATGGTAGTCAAGTGCAGGCTAGGTCAGGACTAATAAAGTCAGGCAGCATCGCCGTGCAGTTGGCGTTTAAAGTTATAGGACTGGATGAATCGCCAGGGGAAAGAAGGGCCCCACGAGTGAGGCCCTGAGGCTCTCAGGCATCTAGAAACGGAGCACAGGACGCGAACCCACCAGAGACAGAAGTGGCCAGAGGGAGGGGAAGAAGCTCAGGGAGGGTAGTGTCATGGAACATAAGATAAGACACAGTTTCAAGAAGGATGTGGCTGTCTGTGTTGCATGCAGCTGACAGGTCACATGAGATGAGAACGGAGAAATGACTGCTGAGTTTGCTAATATTAAAAGTCAACTGGTGACCTTGACAAGGGTAGTTTCTGAGGCATATATTAGGATGGAGGTCAGCATGGACTGGGTTATGAGAAAATCTGAAATAGGAATTGGGGACAGTGACAATCCTTTCCAGAAGTTTCTTTGTAAAAGGAATAGAGAAATGGGCTAGTAGGTAGAGGAGGAGGTGGATCAAGGAAAAGTTCAGTCCTTTCAGTGATAAGGAACACTACACGAATCTTACCTCACATGTAGTGAGTGTACAATTTCAGTCCTAACAGGAAGATACTCTGATCATTTTATAGATGGAGGTTACTTGTTTGAGGTCGTGATGATACCAAGTGGTAGAGCTGGGATCTGGACCCAGCAAGAGTAGGCTTGTATACTGGACATGGTCCGTGTGAGCAAACACGGCTGGAAACAGGGAGTCAGAGAGAAGAGGCTGAGAAGACTCTCAGTTAGAAGTGGCAGGGCCAGACTGGAAGGGACATGGGTGGCAAGGTTGCTAGGAACTGGTATGATGGGTAAATAAAGTTGGTGAAGGAGAGGGGGGCATGGTACGTGGTGGGAGGTAGAATCAGAAGCCAAATGTGGAATACAGACAGTAAAGCAAGTTTGGGGAGTGCGGGGGGCAAGCTCAGTTTTGGTCAAGATGAGTTTGAGGTCCCTGGGGCTATTGAGAAGGGGCGGGGCTGGAGACTGGGGCGGGGCTGGCGACTGGATCAGAGTCTGGCCTGCAGGGTAAAGGCCTTGGTAACCCATAGGTGAGGATGAAAATGCCCAGAAAGCATTACATTTTCCTTGACAGAGTAGTAAGGATGGGGCCCAGGGCTGGCAGAGGATGGGGGATTGAGGAAGGCAGCCGCTGAGTCTGTAGAGACCAGCCAGTGAGGTCCAGGAGAGTGGCCTGTGGACCCCAACAGAGAGCTGTTGGCCATGTTCACCTCCTTCCCTCAGTCTTCCCCCCAGGGTTTGCTAGGCACCCACTCAGAGCAGGCCAAGGTCCAGGTGCAAGTAGACAGTGGTGAGTGGGACCATTGTCCTTGCCCCCTTTTGGGACTCAGACTCCAAACTATCATGTACAGAAATAAACCAGATAAGTTCCCATGTTGATGACTGCTATGCTAAGAAACAGAGTGATACGGTGAAGAGATTAATGGAGGCAGGGCTGGGTCTGATTAGTTTATTTTATTTATTTGTTTGTTTATTTTTATAAATCTGCACCTGAGGATATGCTTTATCAATTTCAGAGAAAGAGAAAAGGTGGGGGGGGGGGGAGAAAGAGAAGAAATATCGATTGGTTACCTCCTTTATGCGCAATTGAGGGTTGAGGATCAAACCCAAAACAGGTATCTGCCCCGACCAGGAATGGAATCTGTAACCTTTGCTGTGTGGGGCTACGCTCCAACCCGCTGAGCCACCTGCCCAGGGCTGGATGTCTCTATTTTAAACTAGGTGGCCTGGGAAGGCCTCTCAGACGAGCTGAGACCTGACTGACAGGAGATGCCAGGCAGGGCAGTGTTCTGAGAAAAGGGGAAAACAATACCAAGCCCTGCGCGGGACACAGAACTCGGTTCTCAGCAGGAACAGAAGGCAGGCCAGAGTGGGTGGAGCCTTGTGAATGGGAGGAGTGTGAGAGATTAGAAAGGAGAGGGGTGGGGTGGCTGGGGAGGACCTGGGAAGCCACTTGAGGTCCTGTTCTCTCATTTTATTATTTATCTTCTTTGCAATTTCCTATTATCCTAGCTCTAGGGTTTTGTTTTTTTGGTTTTTTTTTGTAACGGCTTTATTGAGATAGAGCTGTTCTTACATACCATGCAGTTCGCCTACTTATAGTATCCCATTGAATGATTTTTAGTATATTCACACAGTTGTGCAGCCATCACTACAGTAATTTTAGAACATTTTCATCTTCTCAAAAAGAAACTCTGTACCCTTTAACCATTATCCCCTATTTCTCCGACCCCTCCCTCCTCCTAGCTCTAAGCAACCACTAATCTGCTGTCTGTCTGTCTCTGTTTATTTGGACATTTCCTAGAAATCATATACTATGTTGTCATTATGACTGAAAGGCCTTAACATAATGTTTTCAGTTTGTGGCATTTCTTTTAAAGGCAGAATAATGTGCCATTGTATGAACATATTTCCTGATAAGGAGAATTCTCCATCAGTTGGAATTGTCCATCAGTTGATGGACATTTGGGTATCATTTTATTTTTTTATTTTAATAACCCAAGTAATGTGTGATTAACGTATGTATACATTCTGAAAGTAAAGGAGACAATTGCTGTAGACACAAAATATAAAAGCCCCCTTACTTCTCCTTCAGTCCTACTCTTCTCCCCAGAAGTGGCTGGTGACAATTTGCTGTGTATGGTTCGCATCACATATGTCAGATGTCTTCACATAACTTCCCATTACACTGTGGGCTCCGAAGGCTATGGATCCTCCCTTGTCCTGGGCCATTTAGATATCTTCTGGGTAAGGTGGGCCCTACAGGTCTGTAAACTAAATGAGTGTCTAGGGAATGTGCGAAAGTCCTGTGAAGGGACTTTCCCCTATCTTTGAACATCCACGTTCAGGTGTGGACGGGACGGTGAGTGGCTGGGAGGAGGCCAAAATCAACAGCTCCAACCCACTGCGCTATGACCGCCAGAGCGGGGGATTTATAGTCACCCGGGCTGGGCTCTACTACCTGTACTGTCAGGTAAGCCCCACCTGGCACCATGGGTGAAGCAGAAGCTGAGGGAGAAGGGTTTGGTTTAGCGGGCAGGGAGGAGGCGCCTGGGGTTTGGGCTGGAGAGGATCTTTGGGTCTTCAAGGAAATGTGAAATTGAGATGAGGGCAAGCCGTGGCCTGGACTCCGCCACCCTCTCCCTGCCCCCCAGGTGCACTTTGATGAGGGAAAGGCTGTCTACCTGAAGCTGGACTTGCTAGTGGATGACACGCTGGCCCTGCGATGCCTGGAAGAGTTCTCTGCCACCGCTGCGAGCTCCCCTGGGTCCCAGCTCCGTTTCTGCCAGGTGTCTGGGCTGTTGCCTCTGAGGCCAGGGTCCTCCTTACGGATCCGCACCCTCCCCTGGGCCAATCTCAAGGCTGCCCCCTTCCTTACCTACTTTGGACTCTTCCAAGTTCACTGAGGGGCCCTGGCCTCACAATGGTTCTCCCAGGCCGCTGATTCCCCACAACTCTCTGAGCACCCCAGTCCCCTCTGCCCCACCCCAGGCTGCTCCTCCCCTCAGACCTGCCTGTCCCTGGGCAGGCTGCCAGGGCTTCTTCACGTGTTCTCCGCGCCACATAAATACTCCCATTCATCTCTGACAGCTCCTCCCCCCAACTGTGGTTTTCCACCTCACCAGCTCCTGAACCCCTGATCTTTGATGCCCCATTTATGTCCTGACTCCCCACGCTGGCCACAGCCCTCTGGGACACTGTGTTTACTACACTCTGGGTGAGAATGGGTCCCCAGTACCCCTTGCAGGCACTAGGAGGGGCTGGATACCAGAGAGACTGGGACTAGGGCAGGAGTTCCCGAGTGTGAGGGCTAAGAGACCAACACAAGCTCCTTTCCTGATAATTCCCTGTGGATTTTTAAAACAGATATTATTTTTATTATTATTGTGACAAAATGTAGATAACTGAAAATTAAAGAGAGTTAAGTCATGATTGCTCTTTTTTATTTGGGGTTCAGGGGACCTCCTCAGGGTAGCCAAGCGCCCTGGGAAGCAGGGTCTGGGCATCGGGGAGTGGGTACAGGACCCCTGGACTCCCAGGGCAGCGCACAGGCTTGGGAGCGAGGGCCCGCGTGCCTCCAGCCCCCAAGGCAGGAACGGAGACTGGAAAGGCAGCCTGCCAAGAAGAAAGAACCAATCCTCTGCCCAAGGTCCAGCAGAAGCGGCCTCATTTACCTAGGGAGCGGGCTTCCTCCTGAGGGGAATCCCTGGCCGGGAGAACACAGGTCCCTTCCTCTTGGCAGCCTTGGGACATTCAGCAGGTGCTGGCACAACGCCCTGGCTGGGATGTGGGGTGGGAGCAGGCCTCAAGGGGGTTTCAGGGTCAGTAAGCAGGACATCGGGGCTCAGGAACATGGGAACCTCAACCTTAGGGTACAGGGGAGGAATCCCACAGCAGTAGGGTGCTTGTGGAGCGGGGCGGGGGGGCAGGGGGGCCTGTCTTTTTCTGTCTTCATCCAGAGCCTTATGTAAGAGCTCCTCTCGGGAAACAGGAAGTCCTATTTGCCAAGTTCAGCACAGGGAGCAGTGCAGGCCTTATTCCAACACACCCAGCCTGGCCTTAACCCCAGAACTCAGCCAATTTCTTGCTTCGGAGACCCTGGCTCTGCCCACCGGCCCTCTCCCCTCCTTTCCTACCTTCATCACCCCTGGCGCACTTCCCCAGAGATCTCCCCCAGGCCTGGGCCCGACGGTTTTCCATCCTCATCCCTTGACCCTCAACACTACCCGACTTGCCCCTTCATCCTCGCTCCTGGCACCACGCCCCATAGCCAGCCAACCTTCCCTCCCCCGCTTTTGGGGCCGCCCCAGGGTTCCTGTGCTTTGGCCGCTCCTCCTGGGTGTCACTGGCAGCCCTGTGCTTCCTAGAGAGACTGGCACCAAATTCTCCTGAGGCTGGAGGAGGGTGGAGGGTCTTAAGACAACACTGGCCCCACAGAGAAGTGCCAGGAGCACCAACAGTGTCCCTAGCTTGCTTTCCTCCTCCCTCCTTTTTATTCTCAAGTTCCTTTTTATTTCTCCCTTGCGTAACGCCCTCCTTCCCTTCTGCACCACTGCCTGCACCCCCACCCTCTCTGCCACCTCTTTGCCATCCACTCCTGAGGCCACAGCTGTTGGCAGGGTCCCCAGCTCATGCCAGCCCCATCGCCTTCCTTTCTAACCCCCAAAGGGCCACTGGGAGACATGGGGGACCGGGTCCGGGAGCCGGCACTCTCAGTTGCCCTCTGGTTGAGTTGGGGGGCAGCTCTGGGGGCTGTGGCTTGTGCTATGGCTCTGCTGACCCAACAAACAGAGCTGCAAATCCTAAGGAGAGAGGTGACCCGGCTGCAGAGGACTGGAAGGCCCTTTGGAAATGGGGAAGGGTATTCATGGCTGAGCCTCCGGGAGCAGGTGAGTGAGGGGAGAAGGGTGTCTGGGAGAGAAAGAGTGGTGGCAGGGTCGTCTCTGGCACTCTCGGTTCCAGTCTCCTGCGAAGTTTCTAGTGGGTGCCAGACAGGGTCCCGGGTTTGGAGGTCAGGGAGCAGCCATTCCAGGAAAGGAAATTGTTAAAGATTAATGCTTCTCGATCCTGGAGGACAGCCAGCACCAAGACTCAGGTTGCTGGGGAAAGGTGTATGAGAGGTGTGAGGCATTCCTGGGGCGGAGGGAGGGCTGGGAGGAAAGGCTGTCTGGGACCCTTGCATCTTAGCCTAACCCTGACTTTTTCCATGAGCAGAGGCCTGATAGCCTGGAAGCCCTGGAGGACGGGGAGAGATCCCGGAGAAGGAGAGCAGTGCTCCCCCGTAATCAGAAGAGTGAGGCCTTCAGGGTGCAGAGGGGTGGGAGGTGACCAAGCAGCCTGATGACTTGGAGGTTGTTACCCCAAGTCAGGGTGAGAGTGGAGGGCTGGCAACAGGGCAGGTGGGGGGGGGGGGGGGGCTGAGCATTGCTGAGGTTTCCTCCTTCTTTCCTCAGAGAAGCACTCAATTCTGCACCTTGTTCCCATTAACATTACCTCCAAGGGTGAGCACTATTTTAAAACGGCTTTCGGGGAAGGGCAAGATCTGGGAACTTTGGGGATGGCACCAGGGCCCAAGAGAATCTTAAAGGTGAAAAGTTAGAATGCTCAGAAATCCTGACTGCCACACTCCTCACCTCCAGAGGACTCTGATGTGACAGAGGTGATGTGGCAACCAGCTCTTAAGCGTGGGAGAGGTCTGGAGGCCCAAGGATATGTTGTTCGAGTCTGGGATGCTGGAGTTTATCTGCTGTACAGCCAGGTAACCCCAAACAAACACTAAGCCTCACATAGGGGCCTGAAGGTCTGTTCTTTGAAAGCCTTATACCCGAAAACTGAGGGTGTTCAACCTTCTGTTTGTGCACTGAGAAGACCCTCCTTCGTTCCTCAGTTTCCTTGTCAGGGCTCCTGAGGCCTCCCAGAGCTGAGCTCTACCATGCTGTTTTCTTCAACATCTCCTCCCTTCCCTGCCAGGTCCTGTTTCATGACGTGACTTTCACCATGGGTCAGGTGGTGTCTCGGGAGGGCCAGGGAAGGCAGGAGACTCTATTCCGGTGTATACGAAGTATGCCCTCCAACCCAGACTGGGCTTACAATAGCTGCTACAGTGCAGGTAACGGCTCTGTGGAGCATGGGGGGTGGGGGGTGGACGGTGGACGTGAGAAGCGCAGGACATCTCTGACCTCGGGGTAGCGGTGGGAGAGCTCTGACTAGGGGCTGGAAGCCTGGATGTAGATAGGCGTGCATTTAAGGAATGAAAGATGGAATATCTAGGTCCTTACAGGAAGCAGAAAAAAAAGGTTGAGCTAGGGGAGCGCAACACAGCAGAGTACTTACAGGACTGAGCTTCACTGAACATCTATTTCCTGTTTTTCCTCAGGTGTCTTCCATTTACACCAAGGGGATATTCTGAGTGTCATAATCCCCCGAGCAAGGGCGAAACTTAGCCTTTCTCCACATGGAACTTTCCTGGGGTTTGTGAGACTGTGACTGTGTTTATAAAGGTGGTTCTGGGTTTGGAAGACCAGGGTGGGTACATATGGGAGACAGCCAAAAGCTGACCAGACAAAGGACAGGGAATGAGAAGGAACAGAGGCTTCTTCTGGGTTTAACTGGAACCCTGAGCTTGACAACTCATGACTGTCTGTTCCTCCCTTTTCCCCTTTTGCCCCCAACCCTTTGACTTCGATTTCATGAATATTAAGGATATAGAATATCTTGCTTTTCTCTCCCGTCTAGCCCCAAATTCTCGGGGCTGTGGAGGAGTGAAGAGAAAATGCCAGGCATTGTCTAGACCTGCTTCGGGTCCCACTGGAATGCTTCCAGAACAGCACCACCATCTAGCGGCAGTTTGAAAGAATCATCCTGTCAGTTGGCACAAGTCCACAAAGCTTCCCTACACTCAGGAAAACTCCTGGTTCCGTATGCCACACCTCCCTCGAGGAACCCACTGTCTCTTCACCCCTCAAAAGGCCTCATCCTCATGTCCACATTACTCTTTGGGTCCCCAGTTTTGCCTTTCATGCTCTGCATTCCCCTGGCGTGGCAGGCCACTCTAAGCCCCTCTGGGCTGAGACAGGTCGCCGGGGAGTCTTGGAGGAACCGTACGGCCTGATGTTCGTCCTGATGCACTCCTGAGCCCATCTTTCTGCTCAAGCCCTGCTTAAAGTTAAATAAAAGAGAATAAATGATACCTCGGGTCCATTTCCCCCACTGCCTGGTCTCAGCCCCGTCCCCCTACCGGGATCTCCTGCCCTCCAGGCACTGCCCTGGTGCACCCTACTACACAGAGGATATCAGGCCGCGGCGCTCCGAACTGCGAGAGCCGTGCAGCTGGGCGTGAACGACCATGAGACACGCAGGCGCAAAAGGGCGTGTGGTGGGGTCGCCGCGCGCAAGTCCAGGTCAGCGAGGGTGCGTAGGCGCAGCCCTGCGTGGGGCTCGGGGGGCGGGACGATCCCCGCGGCGTCTACTTTCGGGAGTAGGCGGGACTAGGCGCGTGGTGGCCGCGCCGGCGCTGTTCGCCGAGCGTGACGTAGTATTCGTGCGCCGCCACCGCCGGTGGGCCTGGGGCTCGCGGGAGGGGAAACAGGAGGAGGAGGGGGAGGTGGTGGAGGTGGAAGCAGAGCAAGAGGCGGCCGCGGCGGGGCGGCTCAGCGGCGCGGCCCAGGAGCGTTGGAATCCTGAATTGAGACGGCTGCGCCTGAAGACAGCAGGAGTGGCGGGGCCGCCGCCGTCACCGGACAGATGAGCCGGGAAGCCTGAGGCCGGCGACGCCCGCCCTCGGGCCCGTCAGTCCGGCTTCACCGCTCCCGGTGAGGACGCCCCTTCCCCTCCCCCCCAGCCCTGCCCCGGCCTCTCCCATTCCTGGACATCATTCCCTCCTAACCAGGGCCCAGGAGGCCCTCGAAGGGGCTTCTTACGGCCCTCGCGCTCCGAGCCGTCTGAGCCTGTAGGACTGTACCGGTGCTGGGACGCATTCTGGTCCCCCGGGGACAGATCAGGAGAGGGGGCTGGGCCAGTTGACTCGGGTGGCTCAGTTCGTTCCCAGCGCCTTGATCCGGTTGCTTAAGCACCGATTCGGTTCTCCTTCAGTTTCCTTTAAAATTCTTCCCTCTTCATTAGATTCTACTACCTGAACCATAGCTCTGAAGTCCCTATTTCCTCCTGAAACGATGTGAGCATGCCCCCTCTTCCCCAATTCATTGCAGGGTGGTAGATAACTTTTCCCACTGTAGACTTCGGTTTCCCTGTGGACATTGTGTTGCCCTCATGTACCTCTGTATCATGTCAGGATTCCCGTGCTGAGCCATATCCCTTATTTGGCTCTCAATAAGTACACTCGTGGTGGTATTAAAATAGAGAAGCAGAGCCTGAAAATACTGGGTTTGACCAGGGAATCTGACAGATAAGATCCCTAAGGCCTGCTGCTTAGCCAGTCTCTCTTGCCTCCATCTGGGTAGGGGAGAGATGATGGCAAGATGCCAAAGGTTCCCTTGTGGACTCTTTTAACCAGGAAGATCTGAAGTTTGTGGGGTTTTTCTCTCTTTCCTTTTTGCATCTCTCTGAATCCTAGTTTATTTGTATTTGATTCCAGAAGAGGCACGCTGAGGAAGAGAGGCAGGATCTGGGGTACCTGATATTTGGATTCTGACACGCCTTTGTTTTACAGGCTACTGAAAGATGAAAGAGACTATACAAGGAACGAGGCCTTGGGGGCCTGACCCTTCAGGACCTGGCATAGCCCCAGCTTACTCAAGCCCTAGGCGGGAGCGTCTTCGTTGGCCCCCTCCCCCCAAACCCCGACTCAAATCAGGTGGAGGGTTTGGGCCAGATCCTGGGTCAGGGACCACAGTGCCATCCAGACGCCTCCCTGTCCCTCGGCCTTCTTTTGATGCCTCAGCTAGTGAAGAGGAGGAAGAGGAGGAGGATGAAGATGAGGAAGAGGAAGTGGCAGCTTGGAGGCTGCCCCCGAGATGGGGTCAGCTGGGAACCACCCAGCGGCCTCGCCCTCCTCGCTCTACCCATCGAAAAACCTGCTCACAGCGCCGCCGCAGAGCTATGAGAGCCTTCCGGATGCTGCTCTACTCAAAAAGCACCTCGCTGACATTCCACTGGAAGCTTTGGGGGCGCCACCGGGGTCGGCGGAGGAGCCTTGCACACCCCAAGAACCATCTTTCACCCCAAGAAGGGGGTGCGACACCACAGGTGCCATCCCCCTGCTGTCGTTTTGACTCCCCCCGGGGGCCACCCCCCCCTCGGCTGGGTCTGCTGGGTGCTCTCATGGCTGAGGATGGGGTGAGAGGGTCTTCACCAGTGCCCTCTGGGCCCCCTATGGAGGAAGATGGATTAAGGTGGACTCCAAAGTCTCCTCTGGACCCTGACTCGGGTAAGGTGGGAATAGGGTGGAGGAAGCGGGGGAAGGGCTAAGATTCTGGAAGACCAGGACCTTCTTGTTATGATGAGAACTGGGCCTAAGGAAAGTAGAATGGTGGAGTTGTGGGGGCAGGGGTGGGGCGACAGTACCCAAAATAGCTGTGAAATGTCTTAAGCCCCATTTTGAACAGGAAGTCAGTCAGGGGAGGTGGTCAGGGCTGGGATACAGAATCCTTAAGTAGGTATTTGTTCTGTGCATGGATGAGGAAGGAAGACATGGTTCAGAAAAGTCAGCCTTGTCCACCTGAAATCCCTCTTCATTGAGCCATTGAAGATAAGCGCCCTTGCGTGTGCATCTCTGGGGGGCGCCGTTCTCAGAGTGGTGGGATGGGATCCCTGAGTAGCAGAGTGTTTGTCACCTGTATGGTTGTGTGTGGCATTCTCATTCAGAATATTTTTCTTTTGCAGAACCACACTAAACAATTTTAGGCTCTTTGTCCCTTTGTTAATTATTTATTGAGCCTTTGCTATATGCCAGGTACTCTGCTACATGCATCTTCTCTGACTCTGTTTTTTCTTTTCTCCTGTGAGTACAGTTGACCCTTAACACAGGTTTGAACTGTGTAGGACCACTGACATCTGGAGTTGGCCCTCCATATCTGTAGGTTTTGTGCCTGCAGATTTAACCAATTGTAAATTGAAGACTATTTTTAATCCACAGTTAGGAATCCACAGATGCAAAAGCCTGACTGTATGTGTTGTTCTCTACCTTTTTATGTAAGGGGTTTGAGCATACACGGATTTTGGTGTCCACAGGGATCCTGGAACCAATCCCCCATGGATACTGAGGGGCAGCTGAATTTTGGGGGTAGTTAAGGGTTACATGTGTGAGGGAGGTGTGTCACTATCCTCTGCATTTTCAAGGGTCAACTCTAGTAACTCTTCCTATCCCTTTATTACCTTTTAGACATGCTTATCTCATGCTTTAGGGTCTCCGTTCCTTAGAGTTTATATTGATCTTCCCATTGTCCTTTGGTCTGAGTCAGTTTTTCATCCTCATCCTGTTCTTCTGTTCTATAGGCCTCCTCTCTTGTACTCTGCCCAATGGCTTTGGGGGACCACCTGGGCCAGAAGGGGAGCGAAGTCTGGCACCCCCTGATGCCAGCATCCTCATCAGCAACGTGTGCAGCATCGGGGACCATGTGGCCCAGGAGCTTTTTCAGGGCTCAGATTTGGGCACTACAGAAGAGGCAGAGCGGCCTGGGGAGAAAACTGGCCAGCACAGCCCCCTGCGGGAAGAGCATGTGACCTGCGTGCAGAGTAAGGAACATTGAGGACCTAGTCTCTCTCCCTCAGCGGACTCCTAGATCAGAGTCTGGGGGTCTTACCTACCCCTCTGTCCCTCCTCCATTCAGGCATCTTAGATGAATTCCTTCAAACTTACGGCAGCCTCATCCCTCTCAGCGCTGATGAGGTAGTAGAGAAATTGGAGGACATTTTCCAGCAGGAGTTTTCTACGCCTTCCAGGTGAGGCATGAAGGAGATGCCCTTTAGAAGAGGGCTGGGTCTTAGAGGACGGGGAGAGAATGCCGCTCCTTTTCTGCCACAGGGATGTACTTGAAGAAAAGGAGGAAGTAGAACTAAAGTGGGATAATCTGCAGGCCAGGTGCCAAGTCCTTGTAGCCAACTGGGAAGGTCTTTACCTGGGATCCTGAAATACTGTGTACATCTGAGTATTCATGTGCTTCTTTCTGAGGAGTAGGCCTTTAACAGGTCCTCAAAAGGACCCATGACCTAAAAAAGGCAGGAGGGTTAGTTTAGATTCCTATCCTAGGCAATAGAAGGTATTCCTGTGTGCCCTAGCCCCCTTGTCTGTTGTGTGACTCCACCCTTGGCCTACTCAGGAAGGGCCTGGTGCTACAGCTGATCCAGTCATACCAGCGGATGCCAGGCAATGCCATGGTGAGGGGCTTCCGAGTGGCCTATAAGCGGCATGTGCTGACCATGGACGACTTGGGGACCTTGTATGGACAGAACTGGCTCAATGACCAGGTGAGGTGGAGACAAAATGGCCCAAGAGGAGATTCAGGGAGCAGGGAGTCTGGGGCCCTCTTCAGGGGGATCTCTGTACCCATTCACACCCTCCATGGCAAGTCGCCTTCCATCTTCTTTCCAGGTGATGAACATGTATGGAGACCTGGTCATGGACACAGTCCCTGAAAAGGTAGGCTTAACCAGGTACTTCAGTCCCCAGGAGAATTTCCACACTTCTAAGCAGCTTTTTAGTCCCTTTCTTCTCTCCCATTTCTGGGAAGAGGTAGGAGAAGGTTATCTGTTAAATTCATATCTGTAATCTTGGTCCTGAACTTAACAATTCTATTTCTTTCCCCCACTCTTTAGTATTTTCCCCCTATGGCTAACTGCACAGACTGGGATGGGAAGCTCTAAGATACATTTAAAAACAAGTCTTGTATTTTTGGGGGGGTTTTTACCCTCAATAAATTGGAGTGCAGGTTATTGAAAGCAGTTCTTATAGCTATAATGAAATGGAGGGGAGACTTGGAGGGCTTGAGCCTTTTAATTCCATCCAGCGTTTTTTGTTTTTTTTTTTTAAATCATTGGTACAGGTGCATTTCTTCAACAGTTTCTTCTATGATAAACTTCGTACCAAGGGTTATGATGGGGTGAAAAGGTGGACCAAAAATGTGAGTTATGAATGTATATCTACTTGTGTTAACACCTTGCCTTTAGAGTTCTGTTTTTATGAGCTCTTTCCTTAACCTTGTTCATTCAGTCTTCCAAGTACTTATTAAATGTTTTCTCTGTGCTAAGTACCATTCTGGACACTAAAGACACTGAAATAAGGCAAATTTCTTGCCTTTATAGGATAAGAATAAATAAGCAAGTTAAGTTTCAGCTAGCGATAAATACTGTGAACAAATTAAAACAGAGTAATGTAATAGCGTGGGAAGTGGGTACTTTATACTGGGTGATCTGAATGATGAGCCAGCCATGTGTAGATTTGCAGGAAGAGTGTTCTAGGCAAAGGGAACAGCAAGTACGTGGGACACGAAGTAAAAAAGAACATTTGAGGAACAGAGGTACTGTGTGCATGGCCTGTGTGGTTGGAACAGATTGAGCAAAGGGAAAGTGATACAAAATTTGGTCAGATAGTAGATATGTAATGAAGGGTAGGGTAGATTTTATTCTTCATGTACTGAGAAGCCATTGAAGAGTTTTAAGTATGCTGTGTGAGGTGCCTCATGTTTTGAACTCTCATTTCAGTGATAGGTTGAAAGGGGAACAAGAGTGGAAGCAGGCAGATTAACAGGAGAGTAGCATAGAAGTCCAAATGAGAAATTGAGGCCAGCGTGGTAAAGGTAGAAATCGAAGTAATATTATATAGCATAAGTTTTGCAGGTAGAACCAGTAGGTCTTTCTGACAGATTGGATGTGGGGAATGAAGAAAAGATAGGAATAAAAAGGATGATAACTAGGTTTTTGGCCTAAATTACTGGGGAAAATAGGGGAAGAGAAGGTTTCGTGATGAGGGAAAAAGTTCTTCTGAGCCCTTCATTTGGTTTCCTGCCCTCCCCTTCAAAGGGCAGGAAATTTCTACAGTAATGCAGGGCCATCGGCTCTAGCATTTCTTAATTTCTGCCCTTGGGTTCAAGAGCTGTGCCCTCAGGGTCTGGCAGGCCTGCCTCTCAGTGGAGGCGGGGTGACAGAGTGAAAAGGACTTGGCTTTTTTTAATACCTGTATTTGAGTCCCTCCTCTGCCATTTGTTCTATGATGTTGGGCACGTTACTTTCCTTTTTCAAGCTGCAGTTAAATCATTGTTAGATTGAATATGGGAACACCCTCAAAGGATTGTCATGAGTGTTCACTGAACGTTTGCTAGGTGCCATGCATTGCTCTTAGTGCTTTATGGATGTTAACTAGTTAATCCTTATAACATTGGGTGAGGTAGGTGCTGTTATTTTCACCCTCCTACAGATAAGGGAGCTGAGGTTAGAGAGTTACTGAGTAGCTTGCCCGTGGTCATAAGGTAGTAAATGGCGGAGCTGAATTTGAACCCTGGCAGTCTGGCTCCAAATCCTGGCCTTGGGTGCTTAGCTACTATGCACTTGTACCTTTAATATGTGAGAAGTACCTGGCACATCCTGGGCTGCCGAGTGTTTGTTCTAACACCAGTTCTTCTCTGTTTTGTCTTCCTCCCTTATGCCAAGAATCTAGACATCCAGATGTTGAGATTTGCCTCAGTACTGGGGTGGGCTGGGTGTTGTGCTTGCCTGCCTGGCTTTTTACCTGCTCTTTCATTCTTTAGAACCTCAGGGCAGTACGTAGAACTCGTGCTGTCTTACCTGACTTCTGACACTGCCTCCTCAGGTGGACATCTTCAATAAGGAGCTACTGCTAATCCCCATCCACCTGGAGGTGCATTGGTCCCTCATCTCTGTTGATGTGAGGCGACGCACCATCACCTATTTTGACTCGCAGCGCACTCTAAACCGCCGCTGCCCTAAGGTTAGTGAGGGAAGGGGAAAAATGGGTAGAACAGGGGAGGAGGTCCAGTGGCAAGGCATTCCAGGCAGAAGGGTAGGTTTGAGGTCTTTGAGAAGCAACCTGGGCTTAGTGCCTACGACCTCCACACCATTAATTCACTTGCTCCTTTCCTCCATCTGTATAGCATATTGCCAAGTATCTACAGGCAGAGGCAGTGAAAAAAGACCGGCTGGATTTCCACCAAGGTTGGAAAGGTTACTTTAAAATGGTAAGTTTTTAGAGGGAGGGGGTATGGGGTTGGTGGTGGGCATAATGGTAGGAGGAAGAAGTTGAAGCCACATCCCTAGCAGTCTCCAGGTAAAGGGCCTGCCTTCTTTCTCGTCTCTAGAACGTGGCCAGGCAGAACAATGACAGTGATTGTGGCGCCTTTGTGTTGCAGGTAAGCAGATGTCAGTTGGATTCAAGAGTTGGGAGGGAGATGGGAGGCTATTCTACATCCCTCATTTGGCTCACAGCCACTTGTGGAGCAGGGAGTAATAGTAACCTCATGTGTCAGAATGCAGAAAATTCTGGTTTCATTACTCCTCTCTCAACTTCCCCATGCCACATGGTCTGGTGCATGGTGTCTGGCTATGCTATGCCTGCCTCCAGGTCCCCATTGCAAAGTGTTTTCTTTTTCTTAACATGAAGTATTTCATGTACCAAATACGAACATGGGATTTAGAGTGAAAATTTTTTTGAGCCCCAGGCTATGGAACCTTGGCTCCTTCTGATTGTGAAATGGGCCCGTTCTCTGATAGATTGAATGAGACATACCTCATATGAAATGTGTAGCACAGGTCCTGACCTTGGGAGATGCTCAGTAGGTGGTTCTCATGGCCTCCTTTGTTAACATCTAGTACTGCAAGCACCTGGCCCTGTCTCAGCCATTCAGCTTCACCCAGCAGGACATGCCCAAACTTCGTCGGCAGATCTACAAGGAGCTGTGTCACTGCAAACTCACTGTGTGAGCCTCGTATCCCAGGCCTCAAGCCCATTCGTTAATGGGCAGGGGACATGGGAGAGACCCTTCTTTCCCAAGAAACTCCAGTGTCCTTTCCTTTTGCCTCTCCCTACCCAATTCCCTTTGGTTTTTCATATTTAAATGTTTTAATTGATTTCTGTATTTTTTTTTTCTTTGAGAGAATACTTGTTGATTTCTGATGTTCAGGGGGTAGCCGTGGAAAAGCCCCTTTTTCCCTCTGCAGGGGAGTATGGCCTTTGCGACCTGCGTGGGGCAGTGACCCCCTTCCATGTATGTGGGCGGTGGCTAGGAAAATCTGTGCTGAGGGTGGTGGGCGGGCTACAGGATTACTGCCTGCCAGGTCTTCAAACTTTTTTTATATATATAAATGCCACGGTCCTGCTCTGGTCAATAAAGGATCCTTTGGAGATACATAGTGGTGGTGTTCCTTAAGGGGCCTCACACAAGGGATACGCTTTGTCTCAGGCTTTCCTCCAGCCAATGCTGTTGCCCTTTTATGGGTCTTTAAACTTACGGGGCCAGCTTTCCATCCCTGGCTCATACAGGGCCAACACCACGTCTTGGTCACCAAAAAGAATTACCCACTCAGGGGAGCAAGGGATGTAAGGAGGGAGAGTAGGTGATCCTCAAAAATAAGGGAGCCTGAGACGTACTAAAGCTGGGGAGCAGGACACCTAAAGGAGCTAGCGAGGATGCATGACAGCAACCCCAAATGCTTTTAAAAGCCCAGAAGTCTGTTACTCAATCCCTCCTCCCCTCCAGCCAGGGAATCCTCCAAGCCGCCAGGGTAGGGCTCTTGATCTCCTCGTCCCTGGAACACTTGGAGCACCTCTGATCTACCTTTGCTGGAGAACAAAATAAAATGTGGGTCCAGCGGAGATTTGAGTATAGGTAAAAGTCCCCGGAGCCCGGAAGTCCCTGGAGGCTGAAACCTCGCCCCCTTCCCATGATAGGGCTTACTAGGCCACGTGATTAAGGCACTATCGCCTCCGCACGTGTAAGGGTGCAGGGCCCCAAGATGGCCGCCAGGCCTCGAGGCCTGACTCCAGTATGTCACTTCCGTACCGGTGAGAAGGGCGGGCCTTGTAGCCAATGAAACCATGGGGCGGGCTTCTAACTTGATAGGTGTTCAAGCTACCCAATGGTGGCTACGTGCCAGAGCGCCAACGAAATAACGTCACGCCGAGTTGCTGAGCGCCGGCAGGCGGGGCCCCGGCGGCCAAGCCAATGCGATGGCTGGGGCGGGGTTGGGCGCTCTATAAGTTGTCGATAGGCGGGCACTCCGCCCTAGTTTCTAAGGATCATGTCTGCGAGTCAGGATTCCCGGTAAGGAAGGCATTTATAAGAGGTTGGGACTACTTACCCTGCCGCTCCCTTCCTAGGGCCCCGCGGGGGGGAGCTGAGCCACACCCGGGTTGCGGGGAAACCAAGCCGGGAGGACCAGTCCTGGGGGAGGGACGAGGTAGATCCATAGTAGAGGGTGAAGACAACCCGGCTTTCGGGGCATAGAATACGAGGTTCGTTAGGAGGCCTCGACCACAGACGGTGCGCAAAGCCCCGACGCTGAGTGGTGAAACTAGGTCGCGACCTAGCATGGGAAAGAAAGGTGGAGGCGGCCGCAGAACCCAGAGCCAGACTGTCCGGTTACCTCACTGTCGGAGGGAGGTTTTGCGCGCGCTCGAATTCCGGAGGATTCTGGCGCTACCACTTGCCAAGGCGGGGAGGCCTGGGTTCTCAGTCTCAGTCGTTGCGTCGCGTTGAGGTATGGGTCGGGGAAGAAGAAACCGGCCGTTCAGTGTGCTGGTTTTCTTGACGGCCAGGACTGAGCCTAACCCCGAGGAGCAGCCGCGTGAGGCGCCAGGAGCCCACCCGGCGCCTGGCGGGCGGGTCCATTTTGCCGCACAAGCCGGGAAATTGGCAAACTGCGGATGGGCAGGTCCACTTTCCTTCGGGGGTGAGCGCCCTGAGGTATGGGCAGGGCGACGCCATTTCGCGACGGGGGCGGGCGGGATGTGGATTGTTCCATGGTGGGGGGAGACGCCGCCGGGTGGTCGAGGGAGCGAGCACATGGCGGCCTGATGTCCTCCCCTCCCCCAGTCCGCTTCGCCTTTAAGTGTTGTGCAATCTTCCCATTAGCTAGCTCGGCTGGGGCTCATTGTGCGCGAGGCCGCCACCGCCCGCGGCCTCCCACATCCGGGCACCACTGGAAGGGGGGAGATGGGCTGAGGGAGTGGGGGAGGGCGCGCGCGGAATGACGTGGGGGGGAAGGGGATGGCTTACTCCGTTCTGGGAGGTGAGGGGCGGGACTTCCGGAACGCTGGGGCTGGGATGGGAGGTGCATGCGCTTGGCCTCGAAGCGGCCAGGCCCGATACACGTGGGCCCAGCGGCAGGCACCACCCCCCGGGCCACTTAGCATGGCATCGTTTCTCCCAGTCTCCAGTTCTTTTCCTAGGAGGCATTACTCCATCATGTTGGGGTAGCATGACCTGAGCCGCTCCTTGGATGGGGCATAGGCTTTACTCAGCTGTAAAGTAACTACTGTGTCTTCTAGGAACTGGTGGGGGTTGGGTCAGGGAGTGAAGACCACATCATGCAAGGCAGGTTGCTGGTAGGAAGAGCCGGCTGTCGGGATTTGTAACGTGCCTCAGTCAGCATACTCATACTTTAAACCAACAGATCCAGAGACAATGGCCCCGATGGAATGGAGCCTGAAGGCGTCATCGAGGTGAGATTAGATTCTTAACCAACATTGCCTTTCCTTTCTGGTAAAGGCAATGCCATGAGCAGTGTCCCCTGGTTTCTTTATTAGTGGTTCAGTATCTTAAAACTAAAACCAGAACCTAGGATTCATCTTTAATGTACAGTCTAACTACCAAGTAGTTAAGTCTTTATCACAGGGACTCTTAACTTTTATAGTAATTCTTTTAAAATATTTGTATTTCTGAGAGGACGTGTGAAATCGAGTCTTGGCTTCCTCCTACAACTGCAGTTTACAAGTGGACTGGCCCTTGGAGAATTCCCAGGCCATGTACAACCAGTTGGTTTCCCTGGAGGGGGAGGGGTTGTTGTCTCTGAAGCTTTGGTGAAAGCACAAGGTGCTGTTGGCTCCAGTGTACAGCCCTACTTCTACTACTGTAATTTCTTTATATCCCACAGAGTAACTGGAATGAGATTGTTGACAGCTTCGATGATATGAACCTCTCAGAGTCCCTCCTCCGTGGCATCTATGCCTATGGTTTTGAGAAGCCCTCTGCCATCCAGCAGCGAGCTATTCTTCCTTGTATCAAGGGTAAGATCCTTGTGCCCCAAAACAAGTTTTGAACTGTCCCTGGTCTGGGTGGAATTGCACCTGGCTTGGTGGTGCTTGTCTTTTATCAGCCAGGAAAACTTAACTCCTTGTTTATCCCAGGTTAGCTTTTGGTCTGTGTCCATGCCTGGTTCGTGCCTTGGGCACATGGATTACTGGTTTAGTTTTAAAAAGAGGTAGTATTTTAACCAGCTCACAGTTGCTTTTTACAGCTGTATTTGTGGTCTCTTTCATGTAAATGAATTAATAACCAGATCTGTTCCCATTTATGGTACTACCTTGAGTGAGGTCTGTGAGGCACTTCATGCTTGGTACATAGCTCTAGTGGGTGTTTATTCATCTTGTTTTGCAAGGCCTCAATTGAATGTCCGTGATCCCAAAGTGTATGCCACTTACCATATCAACTTTTTCTTCTTAATTTGTTTAGGTTATGATGTGATCGCTCAAGCCCAATCTGGGACAGGAAAAACAGCCACTTTTGCCATATCAATTCTGCAACAGATTGAATTGGACCTAAAGGCCACCCAGGCCTTGGTCCTGGCACCCACTAGAGAATTGGCACAGCAGGTGTGTATAATTTACAGCCTTCCCTCCCCCAGGACTGAGTTGGAAATTAGCATGATCCAAAAGTCTGAGTATGCTCTTCAGCCACCACCACCTTGCAAGAACTGAGGTGTCTACCCCCCACACAACAGGCATTTCTACTCCAACTCATTTCCTGAGTCAAATGGGAAAGCTGCTGGGTGGAGCCTGGCTGGCTGAGCAAGCTGTGGTGGCTGTTTTATGGACAAACCCCTTGGCAATGGGCAAGGACACACCTGATGAGTGGTGTTGCTCTTATATCAGTCAGGGGCAAAGCAGTTGTACAGTCCTTAGTTCATCCTAGCTTGTTGCCTGTGTTGGTGGCCAGAGCTGGTTCATGCCTGGGGCACATAAAATTATAATTCCTGGATCTTGGAGGAGAAAAGATCAGATACATCAGTCTCATCAGTAGATTGTGACCTGGGGCTTTAGGGGGTGCAGTTTTTGTTTGTTTGTTTTTTTAATTCACTTTTAGAGTGGAAGAGGGGGAGAAACATTAACAATATGAGATACATAGATTGTGCCCCCAACTGGGGACCCCGCCCCACAACCCAGGCATGTGCCCTGACTAGGAATTAAACCTGCAACCATTAAGGTCACAGGCCAGCACTCAATCCACTGAGCCACACCAGCCAGGGCAAGGGGTGTAGTTTTAAAATGTTTTGTGGAGATGTTCTAATTATGCTGTGCTAGCTTCTAGACAACAGTAATGTAAGTAGTTCTAGTAGAACTCTTATTGTAGGGCCTTTATGTCTAGAATTTTTTTTTTTTTAAGAGCATGTCACCTAATTTTTGTGGTGGTCATGCAATAGGACGTGGATGTATGTCGTTACATATGTAAGGTTGGATGCTATGAGACCACATATAGGAGGGGTTTCAGGAAACTGGGTTTCTAGTATGGTAAGCCATATGGAAATTCAGAGGGTAGTTATGAATCATACATTGTCATTCCAATCCTGAGTCTTACATGCATTTAACCTATCTCTCTTACCTGGAGAATTAGTTTTAATGCTATTACATATCTGAGTTGTTGAAAAAAGTAACAAATGAGAAGCACTTAAAATGGGGCATGGCACAGTTGTAGCTAATACATGAACGCTTATCTTTTCCTGGGTTCAGATACAGAAGGTAGTCATGGCTTTAGGAGATTACATGGGTGCTTCCTGCCATGCCTGCATTGGAGGTACCAATGTGCGTGCTGAGGTGCAGAAGCTGCAGATGGAAGCTCCTCATATCATTGTGGGCACCCCAGGCCGTGTGTTTGATATGCTTAACCGCAGATACTTGTGTGAGTATCATAATTTTCTAGTTCTGAGTTACTTCCCTCTTCTGCATGTTTCCTCAGTCTTTCCACTTGGCCACAGTCTTGTTGCCAATGAGGCTTGTTTTCCCCTGAAAAAGTCGCTCTGTGATGAACCCCATGCGTGTCATCTGAGCCTGGCTTCCCTTTCTCAGCCCAGGTAGTGTTCTACTTCCCGGGGCTGTTAGCTGGCCTGGCAGGGGGGACCCTGGCAAAGGATCAAAACTAGAATTCTGAGAGCAGACCACCTATTCTTCCTGGTTCTTTATTGGGAATGTTAAGCATATTTCACATTTCCCTGATTACCACTTACTGATACTTTTTTTTTTTTTCTCCTGTAGCTCCCAAATACATCAAGATGTTTGTACTGGATGAAGCTGACGAAATGTTAAGTCGTGGATTCAAGGACCAGATCTATGACATATTCCAAAAGCTCAATAGCAACACCCAGGTGAGAGAGACTTGCCCCCATACCTGATCCTTTATAGAATGTAGTTGGTATTTAGAGCAGTATCAGGTGCCAGAGGAACCATAAAGAATACTAATCTCTCAAGCCTTTTTACCCATTAGCTTCTGTTCTAGGTGGTACCTAGGGAAGGAGGCATGGATTATCTCCTATCTTGAGGCTGCTTTTTTTTTTCCCCATTAGGTGGTTTTGCTGTCGGCTACAATGCCCTCCGATGTGCTTGAGGTGACCAAGAAGTTCATGAGGGACCCTATTCGGATTCTTGTCAAGAAGGAAGAGTTGACTCTGGAGGGTATCCGCCAGTTCTACATCAATGTGGAACGAGAGGTGGGGCCTAGTGCAGGAGGCGGATCTGGTAGTAAGTTGTTGGGTATAGCCCCTGACTGATTTTTCTCCCCCAACTCACTCCCAGGAGTGGAAGCTGGACACACTGTGTGACCTGTATGAAACCCTCACCATCACCCAGGCAGTCATCTTCATCAACACTCGAAGAAAGGTTGATTGGCTCACTGAGAAGATGCACGCCCGGGACTTCACCGTCTCTGCCATGGTGAATCCCCCACCTCTTTTACCATCAATGTATCTTAGACAGTGGCCCTCTTCAAGCCAGTTCTCAGAACCAATGTGCCTGTTACACTCTTCTCTTCTAGCATGGAGATATGGACCAAAAGGAACGAGATGTAATCATGAGGGAGTTTCGCTCTGGCTCTAGCAGAGTATTGATTACCACTGACCTTCTGGTGAGTAGAGGGCAATTTAGAGGAAACTAGGAAGGAAGAAGGGAAAAACCAAGGTGATTCCCTCTCCAAGGGGCCTAATTGTGCCCCTCTTCAGGAAAGTAGCAACTTGGAATAAAATCTGGCATGCCTTAGCTTCTGAGGGCACAAGGTCATGTGTCATTTCCTTTGCCTGCCTTTGGCTGCCTACATGTGCACTTATGTCCCAGATTCCTTCTGGATAGATAGTGCCCTCTTCTCACTCACTGATGCTGAAGTCGTCATCTTTTGTTACCATAGGCCAGAGGCATTGATGTGCAGCAGGTTTCTTTAGTCATCAACTATGATCTTCCCACCAACAGGGAAAACTATATCCACAGGTGAGTATTTCCCCAGCCCCCTCATGCCCAGTCCTCCCTGGCCTGAAGTTTATGGTTTTCTGTTTGCCATATCCTCATGTACCCTAACGTGTCGTGTCCCCTGTGTCCTTGTTTTCCAGAATCGGTCGGGGTGGACGTTTTGGCCGTAAGGGTGTGGCTATTAATATGGTGACAGAAGAAGACAAGAGGACTCTTCGAGACATTGAAACCTTCTACAACACTTCCATTGAGGAGATGCCCCTCAATGTTGCTGACCTCATCTGAGAGGGGCTGGCCTGCCACCTCACCCCAGCCAGGGTTCAGTCCTTGTGGGGCTGAGGAGGAGCCGGAGGGGGGAGGGAAGGGAGCCAAGGGATGGACATCTTGTCATTTTTTTTTTCTTTTTTTTCCTTTGAATAAATGTCACTTTTTGAGGCAAAGAAGGAACCGTGAACATTTTAGATACCCTTTTCTTTGGGGTAGGCTCTTGCCCCAGGCGCCGTCTCTTCCCCCAAAAAACACTAATCCACTTCCCTAACCTAGTCAACCTCCAAACCCGAGGCTCTACCCGTTCCAGCCAGGTTCCTCTGAAAATGATTCCAGGAGGCTGTGATGTCACTCAACCTCATTTACTGGACCAAATCTGGAGGGGGAACCCGAGTTAGGTGGTCCAGGGGATTGTCCCCAAGTTGGGGGGACCAGGGGAGAAAAAAATAGCCATTTTTACATTGTTTTGTATAGTATTTATTGATTCAGGAAACAAACACAAAATTCTGAATAAAATAACTTGGAAACTGCTTGGGCTTCTTATTTCTTCCCTTTCCCTCCTGCTATGGGGTATATGTTCCCTGTTCCCCCTTCCCCGCCAGCTAACATTAACCTTTTGTTACACAAAGCTGAAGTGTGACCCTTATGTAAGGGGTTGGGCAATCACTCTCACAAGCGCCTCGTGTGTCTCAGTCAAGAGGAAGTGATAGATTGGGGTGGGGGGGGGAAATGGGAGCATAACTTGATTGTACATCCTACTGAGTTTTCTGGAAAGCATTTTCTCTGCAAATGAGATTGTGTAAACGATTTGGTAATCAACTGGTTGTGTAATGATTTGCCACAACTGTTAGGTTCTGCTGAGGTAGACAAATGGGTTCCCAAATATCTACTCCAGACAACGCCCACTTGGCAAAGCCAGGGCCAATCATCTGACAAATGTAATGACTAAGGGAGTGATGGCTGGGGCTGAGGTGCTTGAGTCAAGTTGGGGGGGGGGGGTGCAGAGTAGGGTTTTCTCAAATACAGGAAGTCAGACTGATTTCTCCCTTTTCTCAAAAGAAGGACGGTCATAGGGTAGTTTGGGAGAGCAGCTGGTACAACCTAGAAGTCCGGGTGAGGCTGTTCAGCCATGAAGCTTGCTGTGCTTTTCTTGGGGGCCTTCCTGGGGCTGCTAGCAGGTAAGGCAAAGGGCCCTAAGGGGAGCGAGCCCTTAGGCAGGAGCCTGCCCCCGGGTTGGTAACCTGTCTTTTCCTTTGCTGAAAGCCCAAGGAACAGGAAATGACTGTCCTCATAGGAAATCTGCCACACTGCTGCCGTCCTTCACGGTGACACCCACAGCTACAGAAAGCACAAGCAGCCCTGGAACGACCAGCCACACAACTACCAAGAGCCACAGAACCACTACTAGAGGCACCAGCCATGGACCCACAACAGCCACTCACAATCCTGTCACCACGACAAGCCATGGAAATGCCACAGGCACCAGCCATGGACCCACAACAGCCACTCACAATCCTGTCACCACGACAAGCCATGGAAATGCCACAGGCACCAGCCATGGACCCACAACAGCCACTCACAATCCTGTCACCACGACAAGCCATGGAAATGCCACAGCCCATCCAACAAGCAACAGCACTGCCACTAGCCCAGGACCCTCCAGCAGCGCTCCCCACCCAGGACCACCTCCACCTTCTCCAAGTCCTAGCCCAGGCTCCAAGGCAGCTGTAGGAGACTACAGTTGGACTAACGGTTCCCAGCCCTGTGCCCGTCTCCAAGCCCAGATTCAGATTCGAGTTCTGTACCCAACCCAAGATGGAAAAGAGGTAAAGCTAAAAGAGTGGAGGACATGAGGGAAAGGGGTGAGACCGTTTACTATGGTGCAGAAGGGAAGAAGGAAGAGTAGAGAAGGGGACAAGGGACCTTAGATGGCATGGTTGTGTAGCCTTGTGACTCTCTCGTCTTTAACTTCCACAGGCTTGGGGCATCTCTGTACTGAACCCCAACAAAACCAAGGCCCAGGGGGGCTGTGAGGGTGCCCATCCCCACTTGCTTCTCTCATTCCCGTATGGACAGCTCAGCTTTGGATTCCAGCAGGTACCTCACCCTCATCCCTCTCTCACCCTCCAAGTACCCTACCCTTATCAATCCCTTGCTGTAGTCCTTACTCTGTGGACATGGATACCACTCTCCCCTGCTACCCTGAGCCTTCCCTGGTCCCCTCTGCAGGAGCCACTGCAGAGCACTGTTTACCTGAACTATATGGATGTGGAGTACAATGTGTCCTTCCCGCAGGCAACAAGTGAGTAACCTTCCCTTTTTCATAACTTGCACTAGATGTCTGGACTCCTTAAATGACCTACACTGGGGGGCAGGAATGTGGATATAGAGCTGACCCTTCTTCACTGTTTCAGAGTGGACGTTCTCAGTTCAGAATTCATCCCTTCAAGAACTCCAAGCCCCATTGGGCCAGAGCTTCAGTTGCAGAAACGCAAGCATCATTCTTTCACCAGTTTTCCATCTTGACCTGCTCTTCCTGAAGCTACAAGCTGCTCGCCTACCCCCTAATGGGGACTTTGGGCCAAGTAAGACCGACTCCTTCCTTCCCAGAACTCTCCCACTGCATTGAATCCCCTACTCCAGGCCTACAATCTCCCTTGTTACACCCCCAAATTTCCTCCCTCCCTCATACAGCTTTAGGGCCATTGTCCTCCTCTCCAAGACTGTCCGTTCTCCCCTTTCAATTACTGCTCTGTCTTCTACGTGAGATCCTCACCAATCTCCTACTTCCTAACATCCCCCACATCCCTTCCTTCAACCTTTGTCTCAGCCACCACCGTTGTGATGCCTACTTGCCCTATTTTTCTGCCAGGTTTCTCTTGTCCTAGTGACCAGTCCATCTCACTGCCTCTTATCATCGGCCTGATCGCCCTCGGCCTCCTTGCCCTGGTGCTTGTTATCTTCTGCATCTTCCGGAGACGCCCACCCACCTACCAGCCCCTCTGAGCATTTGTCGCAACACCCAGGGCACCAGGGGATGCCGTCATCTCTCACCACTCAACTGACTCAGTGACAAAGTTATCTTCTTCACTCTCTGACTTGAGGAACAAAAGTAGAGATAATGCAATTGGGATAACTGAGGGGAGATGTTTATTAAATGTGAAATTCCTCTTCCCCCATTCCTAGTGAGAGAATAATAAAAGCTACTCAAACTTTGTCTTTGGTTTTCCTTGTTCTTCCTGCCAGCATTAAAAGCTGTGAACTTCTTGTAACAGTGCTTTCTGTGCCTTACATGGCTGAGCCTCAGGGAGCTGGTGAGGAAGGATGAAAAAAATATCAATGTGTGACCAAATATCCTCATGGGTTCATCCCCTGAAGCCTGGCAGAGCTGGTGCTGAATCTGCTTTGCCTTCCTTCCTCACCTCATTCTGGGGCCCCTGGCTGCTCCAGTCCCCCCCCTCTTCCAATGCATCCTGGTGACCTTCTTCCTGACCCTTATACTAAATGACAGGTGAAGCAGGTAGTAATAACAGTGAGTGTAGATCAGAAGGTCACACCTGTGTCATTGTTCCAAAGGCTGTGCTAGCAGCTACTTAGCAACAAGAATGCCTGCCCTCCCCACCACATCTAGGACTGGTTGAACAGCCTGACTAAACCCTTGCTGCAGCCGTGATGCTATCTCACCTGCAAAGGGTTTCATCAACAATGGGAAGGGGGGGGGCAGGGTACAACAACCTCCCCATGAACTTTGCCTCTGTGCACCTGGGAAACAACACACCTCCAGCCTGGACCACCCAGGGAGCCAACCCTGATGTCCCCAGTGGTAGTGTACTTAGTGGTGGTGGCACCCCCAGGGCAGCCTGTGTCCAGATTCTACTAAAGGGCCTGCTAGACAGCCACAGCATGTGCCACCACTGAGTGCCACTCACACCCTTAACAGTAAGCCGTGGTGCAATTGCTGGGGGCAGAATGGGACCCTCCCAGTTACAGCTATAGAAAGCAGCCACTGGGACCGACGGGCCCATCCCATTGTGGGCAGTCCCACCACAGCCTGCCTCACAGACGATCCCTACAACCTTGCAGACTGTGACATGAGAGTCATCAAAGGGCTGCAAGACAGCACAGTGCTTGCAGCAGAAAGCGGACTGCCAGAGCATGGAGGACCAGTTCCACCTCCACCAGTATGGCTAAGAGCTGGTGTCCCACCTTCGGGTGGGAGGACACGGAGGACATCACTCTCACTGGGTAGTCCAAGGTGACCTTTTCCCAGCGGAGATGCTGGGCCCACTTTGCCTTGCTTGAGCTCTTGCTCAGCACGTCCTCACAGAAGGCAGAGGAGTGGTCCGTGGGAAGAAACCCGAGGGCCTGTGGTTCATGGAGCCGGCCACGGTTGGGCCAGCAGGGGCTTGGGGGCTGCCTTCCCCCAAAACTGGTCTTGCCTTCCCCACCTCGTCCTTTTCTGCTTCACTGTTCCGGCTCAGCAGTTGCTAGAGCTCCCATTCACCAAAACCTGGGTGACCCACAGGACAAACAGGCCCTCACCGCAGCCCGGTGCCCACGGACGGCTGCCTGGTGCAGACTGTCCTGCTCCCGCCAGCGCCATTCCTTCTGGAGACGCCAAGAGAACAAGAGTTAGCTTCATCGCCCCCACTCAACTCCATTTTGGAGACTCACGCTCCTTCTCTCAATTTTGAACAATGTAAAGTCAGCTGGGAGAAGACAAGATGGCGCCGAACAAGAGAAGCGGAGAAAACCAGGAAGATAAATCTTGCTTCCACACTGGAAGCGTAAACAAAGGCGCAAAACAAGGGAGTGCGTGGGAGTACAGCTTTGGCACGCTTTACATTCATACGGAAGGGAGGGTGGGTCCAAAACGTGGTCCCTGGACGAGACTTATTTTTCGCTACTAAAGGTGCGGTGGCAGAGGAAACGGGAACAAGGTGCGGTGCAGCTTTGCCGCGGAAAGACAAGAGGCGGAGTTCCCGGAGTGCGCACGCGCATTCAAAGTCGACGACGGTCTGAAGAAACTGGCGGAAGCTATCTTTGCAATATGGCGACCGAAGCTGAGGGGCGGCTGAAGCGGGTGCTGGTGCCGATTCTTTTACCTGAAAAATGCTACGACCAATTTTTCGTCCAGTGGGATTTGCTTCACGGTGAGTTTTATTCGGCATCCTGTCAAAGTTCTGCTGGACCGCCCTCGGACCATAAGTGGGGCGTGGCTGCGGACTGAGTGACAACGGTGACTGCTGCACAGTGTGCTGGGCGGAAATTACCTCTGAGAGGGGCGGAACTGTCTCGGGCTCCGTAGAGGGAGAACGCCATTTTTGGGCTGGGAGGGGTCGCCGGGTGGAAGAAATTCTCTGTGAAGTTTATGCTTTAGCGACAACGAAAGACCAAAAGACTGAAATTTTATAAAACAAAGTTAAAATATAATCAGGTAGTTACAGGAGCAATGTCAAACTTGATTACAAGCCTCTTACCAGTTCAGGCCTTCAGCGGCACCCCCAAAGGCTCCTGCAATCCTGATGGCTTTCCTTTTAGCCTCCACTTTCGTTCATGGTGTAATTTTGGAATAACTTGGCTTCCTTCCACTTTCTACGAAGCTACTCTACAGCAAAGCCCACCTCAGACATCAGATCCTTTCGGAAGCTTTCCCAATCTGCCCTCAGTTCATGACCCCACTGTGCTCCTGAACACTTCGTTTTAGTCACATTCGTGACCCGTGAGACTCTAACTCCCCTGGGCCAAGCTACCGGGAAGACTTACAGGCTAGAGAAAATGTGGGAGGGGAGGGTCAGAGACAACGGGTTCAGGAATGAATGGTAAAAAGGAGACCTGCCCTTGGAAAGAGAAGACATGTAAAGTGGATCACCTAGTTGCTCAGTGGAGGCTAATGAAAGGATCAGAACATTCTTGGGCATTGGTAGCTTTATACAGGGAAGCCATGGAGAGCCTTGAAAGAGAGACCAAGGAGCTTAGATGTCACCTTCAGAGAGCGGAAAATTGGGTTGGAGGGAAGGAATGGTAAAAGCTGTTTTGGAAAGTCACCTTGTCTGAATGTGATAAGATTTGGAGCAACAAGAGTTGCCTTTTTCATCCGCCTCCAGACAACCCAAGGCTTCCTTGCGTGGCTGTGTCAAAGTCAAGGAGCAACCGCAGCCCACAGGACTGCTTTAAGCCTGTAGGCTTATCCTACCTCGTGAAAACCCTAGCTTGGGTTCCAGAGGTCTCTCTGCTTATCCCTTTTTCTTTTCTCAGTCCCCTGCCTGAAGATTCTCCTCAGCAAAGGCCTGGGGCTGGGCATTGTAGCTGGGTCACTTCTGGGTATGTATTTTTTCTTCCTTTCCTCTTGGGATGGGGGTGGAGTGCTAAAATGCCATAAACGGAATGGGCCCCTTAACCAGAAGCGGGGTTAATGTGCTTCCCCACAGCTGTTGTGTTGTGCTCTCAAGGGATACCAGCTCCTCAACCATGCCCTTCTTGTCCCTTTATCAGTAAAACTGCCCCAGGTGTTTAAAATCCTTGGCGCCAAGAGTGCTGAAGGGCTGAGCTTTCAGTCAGTAATGCTGGAACTAGTGGCATTAACTGGGACCATGGTCTACAGCATCGTCAACAACTTCCCCTTCAGGTGAGGGGTTCGCCTTCTATCCCCAAGAGCAAATGCCCACAGCTCCAGTGGGGCTAGGTTGAGGGAGATAAAAGGGCAGGAAAAGTGTAAGCCCTTTTGGAAATCTCGTCATAGTCTGTGGAGGTGGTGACAGGAGGTGGGCACCCCAGGAATGCCCAGGATCTGGAGTGAGTCAATCAAAGAATGGGGGATGGGTGGTGGGAGGCAGGAGGTAGGAACCTGTGGGGTTGTGGAGGACCGAGAGTAATCAGAGAATTATGTCCCCAAATGGATGGGCTATGGAGGCTTTTCCTGCCTCTTTCCAGGCCTGCCTCTCTTCTTCCCATCTCTTGACTCTGCAGCTCTTGGGGTGAAGCCCTATTCCTGATGCTCCAGACAGTCACCATCTGCTTCCTGATTCTGCACTACAGAGGACAAACTGTGAAAGGTGCTGGGGGTTTACCCAAGAGCGGGTCGGTGGCTCTTGAGAGCTGTGCTGGCTGGGGACTCAGGCCTGGGGAAGCCGGAGAACTCCAGAGGTTGATAAGGACTCTTTGTCTCTATGGCCCCCCAAGGTGTGGTTTTCCTAGCGGGTTATGTCCTGGTCCTGCTGCTCCTGCTTTCACCACTGACACCCATGGCCGTAATCACCCTGCTCCAGGCCTCCAATGTGCCTTCTGTGGTGGTGGGGAAGGTGGGTACTGGGAGCAAAGGAAAAATGTCAGGGGTGGGGACTGGGTGGGAAAGGTAAACTGCGAGGAATGGGGGGAATCTGTGATGGCAACATGGGAAAAATTCAGATGATAGAACAAAGGGTCTCAACTCCTGTTTTAGCTGCTCCAGGCGGCCACCAACTACCGCAACGGGCACACAGGTCAGCTCTCAGCCATCACAGTCTTTCTGCTCTTTGGGGGCTCCTTGGCCCGAATCTTCACCTCCATTCAGGTGAGTTCACTTTCTTCCCTCTAGGGGGCACTAAAACCTCATCTTACCTCTCCCACCTGAATACAAAGCTGACTGGTCTCTGGAACCTTTTTGGGGGGTTTACTGAAGAGTGACCCTAGTCTTATTTCTCACACCCAGGAAACTGGAGATCCCCTCCTGGCTGGAACCTTTGTGGTCTCTTCCTTCTGTAACGGCCTCATCGCTGCCCAGCTTCTCTTCTACTGGAATGCAAAGGCTCCCCACAAGAAAAAGGAATAGTAGGGCTGAGCTGGCTACTGGAGTCCATTCCATGTTTTTATCCATCCACCTAACCTCAGGGTCCTTCTGAGCCATTCCGCTGGTGACTTATTCGCTACTCCTCTGCAGATGCAACTTATTGAGCCAGGGTTTGTGTTTAGTGGAAAGGTATAGTTGACAGACCAGATCCTTAGAAAGGAATGAGGATAGAGATTTTAAGGCTGACACTTGATATTTATTGTGTGCTGCCCTGTGTATGTCACTATTAACTCCTTTAATCATTTGGCTGAGACTCTTCCTTTAGCAATTTCCAGCTACTTACCTATTCTGGGCAAAAGCCTTGCCCTGCCCTCCCATCTCCTCACTTCCTCTTTGGACTTAAGAGGACAGAACCTGGACAGAGGAAGGGACTGGGAGCTTATGGCTGCCTCCCTTCCCTCGGCCTTGCTGGCACTGTCTCCTGGACCCCAGTGCTGGGTGGGGGGCGGAGGAAGGGGGATGGAGAATGACTCAGTCAGGGCCCCAGGGTGGGGTGAGGAGGTTCCTGCTCTGGCAGGTCCAGGCGGAAGGGAGTGGAGACTGTGCTGGTTCCTGCTGCGGTGAGGGGGAACAGAGATGGGGCAATAAAGACCCAGAGCCATGGCTTAATTGTACAAAACCGTGTTCGTCCTACCAAAAACTATAAAAAAAAGTGTTGCTCCTCTTGGCTTTTGTTGGGACCACAGGCCTCCTCTGAACGATGTTCCAACAGTGAAAAAGGAGGGCTTGCAGTTTGGGAGTAGGGTGTGGTTCTGGCTGAAAAAGGAGGATGGAGCCCTTCTTGGGAGGTCCAGATTGTTAGAGGTGGGCTAGGGGCATGGGGGGCCCAGAGAGGGGAGGGTTATACGGAGTGGGAGAGTCTGAGGATAGGTAGGGGTTAGAGGAGGGGAGCAGCTCCCCCTGGAGCCTAGGGGTACTCTGGTGGAGGGAGCACGTGGAGGCCTCTGGTTTACAGTGGGAAGAGCTGCAAAAAGAGAAACACCAGGGTTAAAGGGCACTTCCCAAAGTTGGAGGTGCCAGGCAGGGTCCCCACTGTGCATGAGGGCAGGGCTGACCAGTTCTGGGCAGACAAGTAGAACCTACCCATCCCTGGCTATTTGGGCCCCACTTGGTACTGCAGGTATAGAACCAGGCTCAGTGCTGGCTGAGAGAGCAGGGCAGCCTTGTTGGGACAGGCTCAGCAGGGAGCTTGCGTGCTGTGTGCCCGTTTTCCTCTTCTGGGGCAGCAGGCCAGGAAGGGGCAGAGTTGGGCTTACCCTCTCCTTGCCCTGGGGACTTAGAGGAAGCCTGGTCACACCAGGGCCAGAAAGTGGGGGAAACAGGAAACCAGGTAGGTAACTAGAACATGGTCAACAACCACAGGGCTGTGGTCTGGCCCTACAGGGCCACCCCGGTCCGCCTGAGATGAGAAAGCCCTCTAGGAAAACCCTGGGCCACCAGGACCCTCCCAAGGATGTTGGGAGCAGGGGCCGGGGACGGTGCTGCCCAAACCTTAAGGGCAGGCCCCAAATGCCCCAGGAAGTGACCTCTACTTTGGTGGGTTCAGAGTCTCTGACAGCCAGGTCCTCTGGTATCCACCCCACCCAGACTCCAGGTGCATCTCCTTTCTGACCCCGATCCCCAACCACTCACCTGTAACCTCCAGGTAGGTAGGATGTTGAGTAGTTAGGGGGCTGGTACCCAAAGCCTCTGCTGCCCTGGGTGGTTGTGTACCCAGGCCCCCAGAACGGCCCATTGCCAGCCACACCGCCGCTTCCCTGGCCAAAGTGGGGCAGCCCGGCGCTCGCACTCTTGGTCTTGCGCCGGGGCCGGTACTTGTAGTCTGGGTAGTCGCGCAGGTGCCGGGCCCGCAGCCGCTTGGCCTCCTCCACGAAGGGCCGCTTCTCATCCTCGCCCAGCAGCTTCCACTGCGCCCCCAGGCGCTTGGAGATCTCCGAGTTGTGCATCTTTGGGTTTTGCTGCGCCATCTGGCGGCGCTGAGCGGAGCTCCACACCATGAACGCGTTCATGGGTCGCTTCACCTTCTCCAAGGGAAGCCCCCCGGAGGCCGCGGGGCTCCCAGCATCCTCCTGCTCCTGGGAGCCGGAGGCCGAGGAAGCAGGGGCCGTGGGAGCGGGAGGTTCCAGGCTCCAGGCCTGATTTTGTGAGGGGCTGGGCAGCTCCATGGAGGGAATCCTTAAGAGGGCGCCTACACGCCCTCTCCTCCAAAGCAAAACGTTGATCCTCAAGCCCAGTACCCTTAAGATGAAAGCGTCTTCCTGGTCAGGAGTCGTTTCAGAGAAACTCGTGTCCTTAAAAAGTATTTATAGCCCCTAAGTTCAGAGTCCTTATTCTGGAGCCCCTGCTCCCTACCAGTTTGCCCACTTACGGGCAGTGGAATGCAAAATCTGCCGTCTGGTAACTGGTACAAGGCAGGTTGTTCTCTCCTTTCCTTGCTGCGGTGCAGTGCCAGACCCAGTCCCGCTTCTCCTACCTGTGGCGGCCGGTCTTCGGTGGAGGTGTAAACCTTCTGCTCAGCCTCCAGGGTATTTTAGCTACGGGGCAGTGCAGCCCAGGTACCACAGCACTCTCACTTGCCCGGGCGTCTGTGGCGGGTGAGCCAGGCCCAGGAACAGCTTTTAAGGACTGACTCCTCCCCACACCCTCCCAGCAGACCACGCCTCCTAAGAGCGCCAACACCACCGCCTCCTTCCCTAGGCAGACCCAGGTATCCTGTTCTCCCCAGCCCCCAAAACCCCTCAAGGCACCACGCCCCCTCCCCACCCTAGACCCAGAAGCCAGGCCTTGCAGCCGCAGTAGCTGGCAGATGGTCCCCTCCCTTTTTAAGCTTTGGCAATTTAAAGTCAATTCCTTTGCACAATGGGATTAAGCACCCAGATCAAAAGCCCTCAGGGTCAGAGTAGTGTGTTAGGAAGAATTTGGGAATACCCCACACCCACCCTAAACCCTTTTCTTGTGCCCAGTGCCCCTCAAAATGCAACGTGCCCCCGGAACAAGAAAGGGGCAGTTAGAGGGAGGCAGGCCATTCTTGTTGCCTGAGTCATCCCAGCAGGTGCTTGGATGGTGATTCAACACCACTCCAGGTGAGAAAACTTAATTTAAACCCTCTCAATTCCCCCTAAAGTTTTCTCCACCCCCATCATTTTATCTTCAAATTTCAGAGTCCAGAGGCTGGGAGCCAGGAACCCCAGGACAATTCCCCTAGGGCTGAGAGATCAGTGATGTGGATGCTGAAGAAAAAGCCTGGATCCAGAGCAGAGAACCAGCGGGAATGAGGGCTGGACACCTAGGTCCCAGAGGCTTTCAAGAGGCAACTCTGCTCCCCACTCTGCCCAATGCCCAGCCCAAGCCCCAGGCCTCAGGTAATCTGATTAAGCAGCTGGCCTTGGCTCTCAGCTCTTAGCAGGAACAGCTCCAGCTTGGAGCAGCCCTACCTAGCCAGCTGTGAGTCAGGGTATAGGAGGGGCCCAGCTCCCTCTACCAGCAAACCTGGGGGAGGAGAGAAGCAGCAAGACAAGCCACTGTCCTGGACCAGGAGGGTACTGGGGCTTAGGGAATTTAAGATTATAGGGAATTCCCAAAGTAGACCACCTTTGGGACACTAGAGGAGCCAGGTTCAAAGAAACAGAAAACAAGGACAGTTCAATATTAGGAAAACAGACCAAACCGGGCACAAGGAATACGCAGGAACCAGAGAGCCATTTGGATTTTTTTAATTCTCTTTTTAAATACTGTACAGTGAAAAATAAATACGCCTTCTCATCCACCAGATAAGGTTGGTCCCCCTTTCCCTGGGGGACCTTGTCACCCCCCTTCATATATACCCCTGGTTCTACTCCAAAACCTTCCCCATGCCTCCCACCCACTTATACCCTTACTATCCCCGTCTTCCACAGTGATGAGGCCCCAGAAATTGGGGGTACAGGATGGGAGGAGGGATAGCAGGGGAGCCCCCTGAACGGTCAAATCTGGGTGGGTCAAGGAGCACCCCGCACCAGCAGGCGGAGAATGGGGGTGTTCAGAGAGAGATTGGGGCATTAGAGGATAAAGGCACATCCAGTCTGATGGGGAAGGAGAGGCTCCCCTCACCCTGGGGGTAGGGTGGACAAGAGGGAGGTGGGTATGACCCTGTTACACACCCCTCCACTAGCTCCTGGAGGTTGGGGGGGGGACCCAAGCTTCTGTGCCACCCCCCTCCCCCCTAGATAAGAGCAGCTCCAGCGCAGGTCAGTCAGGCCTGTGAGGGCCATGGTGTTGGGCAGCAAGCGAGATGGAGAAGAGAGGGATGCGGGCTGGAGGTTTTATGAAACCCCATTCACCAAACTACCCAACTCTAGGGGGGCGGAGAGCTCCCCATTCTCTGAGGGGCCCTTAGGAAGCTTGCTGACAGAGTCACCCTGAGGGGAAAGTGGGAAAGAAAATGGAGAGGAAGGAAAGAAGTGGTCAGTAGAAATCCAGGTAATGACATTCCCTACCATGCAAGCGTTCCTGGCCATCTGGTGACCCAAGGATTGATCCCTCATCTGGCTCCCTAGTCACTCTCACTGGGATCCAGAAAATATGAACCATACATTTCTCTCTCTTCTATTCAAACTTTCCACTATTTTAAATGTACTCTAAACTCTATCGGACATAGCCTTCTCTGCAATTTAGCAAGAGATTTCATTGGGATTAGTCTTGTGCTCCCTGCCCCAGAAGAACAAAATGCAGGGAGAAGTAAATTACATCTTTCCTGCCTACCTTCTGTCCTGAAAGAGAGTCCTCTGAGGGTTTAGTGCGTTCCAGGGGTGGCCGCTGGCGGCTCTGAGACTCTGCTCGGGAGATATAGTCAGCTACAGTCACTGGGGAAGGCAGAGAACCAAAAGTTTCAGAAGGAACCAAGGATCCAGCCCCCAGATACCCAAAGAATCCCAACCCCTGGTTTTCACAGGGTGGGAGGCATCCATTCTCTCAGCTCTGAGGAACGACGATGACACCAGTGTTAGCTGACCTGGCTGGCGGTCTCCACTGACAGAGCCATCAGTACGGTTACCACGGTTCCGGCGGCGGCGGCTCCGATTACGACGCTGAGGTCTCGACTCATCTTCTGTGGGCAGAGAAAAATCAGTCACGCATCTAATCTCCCATTCCTCAGTTTCTTCTCCTCTCTAATTTTTTTTAAGACATCTCTTACCCAGGCCATTCTCTGTCGTGGTAGGGCCATCAGATTCAAGGCCTCCATCCATGACAGTCCTGTCTTCGTCAGTGCGGCGACGGCGGGAGCGGCGGCGCCTGGCACTTGCTGGGGGAGGTTCCCCAGGTTCAGAATCAATTGGAGGCTCTGGTTCAGATGTGTCCAGTAGGCTGTAGGGATTACTGTCTGGATCCTTCAGCACTGGTTAGAAGAGGAGGAATTGGGAGTCAGGTGTCCACCCATTTTTCATTTGGCCTGCAATCAGGAACCCAACTGTCTGGTACTGGTACCTGAGCTAATAGATGAAGAGTTGTATCTTGAGGTAGGCCTGGGGGCAGGTGGGGGACCCCTACCCCGGCCCCCAATTGGCCGCCGCCGACTTTCTTCCCCCCGGGTTGGGGGATCCCGGTCTCCTGGCCCAGCTCGGATAGGCTCTTCCCTCTTCTCAGACTCTGTCTCAGAAGCAGTAGATGGGTCTGAGCTGGGGCCTGAAGAACACAGTGGAGTTCAATCAGGTCTACCCCTTACCCCAGGACCCATCACTGCCCCAAAGCTGGAAGACTTACCCGTCACTCACAAGACCCCCAACCAATCGTCATCTCCATCACCCTTTCCTCAAGCTTCCACCCAGACCATTGCTTATCCTCACAACCCCCTCACCCAACTGTTCGCCTCCCTTTCCCATAGCTGTCTCACCATAGGCAGGACCACCTGTCCTCCGGCCCCGGCCCCGGCCCCCGTAGCTGCCCCCATAGGTTCTTGTGGTGTGCAGGGAGGAGGAGGAGCTCTCATCGGTGGTATATCCAGCCTTGTCACTGCCACCGCTACCCCGCCCACTACCAGGAGGGCGAAAGCCCAGCCCAATCTGTCGAAGCTGTTCATCAATTTGCAGCCTCTCCAAGCGAAGTTGCTCCACCTCCTGGTTGGGTAAAGGATTGAGGAAGAGATGAAAGGAGGAATAAGTAAAAGATCAATGAATAGTAGTCTCCTTTCAGGCTTCTCTGCCCAACCATCCCTACATTTCTAAACTCTCAGGAATGTAAGAATGCAGACATTGGTTAAACAAAGAAAATTCTAGGCTCCAACCCCACAGCCCCAAATTCCTACCCAGTGGTTTCTGTTCTACTCAACCTGGACACCACAACTCTTAACATTCTCCACCAGCAGTCTCAGTCTCCTTCTAAGACCCAGATCTTTCCTCTCCCAGGTTTCCAGCTTGGGTACCTGCAGGTAAGAGAGATGATATTCCAGCAGAGCCTGAGCGTTGCTGATATTCTCTCGGGTGCCAACAAATATGAAGGGAACCATTCCCTGGAGAAGAGAGGGAAGGGCAGAAAGATTAGGAGAGTCAAATGGAAGTAGCAACTCCACCCTGTCTCCAAAGGAAGCCCAACCAATGGGCTTTCTGGCTCGACCTCTAGGAGGAAACAAAAGTTCCCATGCTCCTCCCCCTAGAAATCCTAGCCCTCAGAGAATGGCTTCATGAACAATCCCATCTATTTCTGTACACCAGTCTCTAGGTGTAGTTGCCATACCTCCTCCCTGGGGTTCTTCTTGTCATTATCACCTTCTACTCGAACCCTCACCACACCAGATTTATCCACAATCTCCTGGATTACTTTCCCATTCTTTCCAATCACTTTGCCTAAATGGGTAAAGGAGAAATTAGACCTTTTTTTTTTTTAAAGGAGAGAAAGAAGAGTCAAAAACAATTAAGATAAATAGTCTTTAGCTTCTATACACATAGTCTGTTTAATTATTCTCCTGCATCTAGGTTCCTGTTCAGTTTTCACAGGACAAAAATATTACAATCTCTAGAAATTTGATCTTCCATTTTTGTCATTCCTACCACAGACTGTTCTATCTTTGTGAAACTAAGGCCCATGAGGGAGGTGCCAAGCCCAGAATCACTTTAGAGACTCTCACTTCTAGCCCCCAACTGCATTCTTTTTTATATATACATACCCCCCCCAACTCACCAACCAGGTTCCT